AAAAAAAAAAAAAAAAAAAAAAAAAGTCTCTGGTTGAGAAGCCCAGATTTTGGAGGCAGGTTGAGAAGGGTCTACTTTGGGTAGCATATGCTAAATCTGTTTACTCACATAAAACAATCTCAACCTGAGAAAGATGAAATTACAGAAATGGATATACTACAAAACAGAAAATCAAGAAACGGCAAAATTGACTTTCATTGCTTTATGTACAGAAATGGTATTTCCAACTTTGTTTCGCTCATTGTAATACATATATGTTCTATACCTCTAAAATATTATCAGTTCTACATGAATTTTCAATATGAAAAAGAGAATTATAAACCTACCTGAGCTAAGAACCTGTATACATAAACAGGCTTAGTTTGTCCAAAGCGATAAACTCTGAATATACTCTGGATGTCATAAGATGGATTCCAAGAAGCATCAAATATAATTACTCGATTAGCAGCTACCAGATTAATTCCTAGAGATCCTGCTTTAGTAGAAATGATGAATAATCGCCCTCTGAAAATGAAAATATAGAATAAATGCTTCAGTAATGAGTGCTTTACAATATGACTTTTTGATACTTAGGCAGTTGTTTTTTTTTAACTATGAGGAGTTCAGATAATTCATTTCTTACTTACTGAAGAAAGTAAGACATTATCTAAGGATTCAGGCTGATAATACAAATAAATGCTCAGGAGGAATTCTACTGTTGAAAAACAGTCTGACTGAAGAATAAAAATGAAATGAAAATCATATATTTACAATGTAGTAAAGGTTTTATTTACAGATTTCTGAATAAATTTAGAGAATTTATACATAACTTGGAAATCCACATTGTATTGGGTACAGCTAGGGCCACTAAGTACATGATAATGACGAACAATGCAAAAGTAGGCGAATATGTAGGGGTGACTCAACATTTATAATCTAGCACAATGAAAATAAGGAGAGAAGTTAGATAGATGCCAGGTACTGAGGTAGATAAAACAGGAGCAATAAAACAGACACAGGGCTCCAGGAAGGGTGTTTCTAAAGAAAAAGAAACGAAACTGATAGATTACCTGATGTGTTGAAACACAATGATTAATATTTCTTTTTTTTTTTTTTTGAGACAGAGACTCGCTCTGTCACTCAGGCTGGAGTGCAGTGGCGCAATCTCAGCTCACTGTAATCTCCACCTCCCAGGTTCAAGTGATTCTCCTGCCTCAGCCTCCTGAGCAGGTGGGATTACAGGCGTGCATCACCATGTCAGGTTAATTTTTGTATTTTTAGTAGAGATAGTGTTTCGCCATGTTGGCCAGGCTGGTTTCGAACTCCTGACCTCAGGTGATCCACCTACCTCGGCCTCCCAAAGTGCTGGAATTACAGGTGTGTGCTACCACGCCTGGCCAGGATTTATAACATTTCTACAGGAGAATTTGGGAATGAATTGGTGATAGGTATATAGAAAACTAAGCAAATGGTAAAAACAAATCAATACTTCAGCAAAACATAATAAACAAGAACACAAAAAAGGAAAAACAATCACAGTAGTTAAGTAGCTTACAAATATTTACAGAGCCACAATAAAGAAAACACTCCATATTAATTTAGGCAAATGTGAAAAATTATATTGAGAAAACGAATGAGGAAAAGTGTGCATGTACTTGTGGTAAATTACTACCTTACACTTTAGAAAGGATGTATGTATGTAAGTAAGCACGAATTGCCAAGAGTTGAAATTGGTTACCTCCAGAAAGTAGAAATCACAGGTAGAAAGAGGTTTGGTCATGGGACTGGTTTTTATTTGAAGCCTTGTAAAACTATCTGTTTTTTAAAAATATGTATATACATTACTTTGACATTAATCAAAATTTAATTTGAAAAAAATTGGATAAACACTTTTTGAAAATAAAAACAACTCTAAGGAAAAAAATTACTCAGTTCCAATCCCCGGAAACAACCTCCATTCAAATCATGATATATTTCCTATAGGTTTCTTTTTTCTAAGTATATACATTTAAAATTTTGTAGTCAGGATAACATCTGTATATACAGTATTTATTATGAATATTTCTCCAAATTTCTTGGTAAACACTATGCTTGGTAGCTGCAGAGTATTTCATTGGATGACTGTACAATAATTTATTTAATAATTTGCTTATTGCTGTTAAGTTACAGAGTGACAAAATCCCTGGAATATAATAAGCTCTCAATAATCAACACGAAAATGTCTTTCTTTTCTTTCATGAAAGAAAAATAATGACTAAAATGCCATACTAATTACATTTATAGCATTCATTATACACTAGAATGCAAAGAAATTCTAAATTTAAATGATGGGAAAGAGTTTACGAATCATATTATATACTAAAAAAAAAAATGGTATAAAATAAATAGACATACTGAATTCATGTTTTATGTCAATTTGGAACTACTACACATCTATGAATACAGACTATAGAAATCATCACAAAAGCTGACCAATTTTGAAGAAAATATATTCAGTGTTATTTTATAATAGCGTACATTTGAAAATTTTAAAGTATGTATAACATAGAGAACTAAGTTTCACTCTGGCTATATTACCATTAAAAATCCAAAATCTTACGTTATATGGAAGAAAAGCAGAACACAGAGCCTTACTAAACACAATTGCAAATGTGTTAAAAAACAAAACACATACACACAATATTAATAGTGGTTCTCTGTGGACAGTGGGATTATGATGACAAATTTCATCTTTACACCTCTATAACACATATTCATTACAGAGAATAAACTGTAGCATCTTTAATTAGAAGACACACTTGAAGGTTTATGGGTAAATGCTGCTCCAAAATTATTCCGCTTATTAGTATCTATCCCACATAAGCAAAAGATGGCATAGAACTATACAAAAGAATCAAGCCTATGGAATGGTATAAACTACATAGGCTAAAAAACACACAAACATACATACACATAACACAAATGAAACCTTAAAGAACTTAAACATCTAAGTCCATACTGAGATAAACTACCCAGTACATTTTTTAGATATTCTTAATACTAAGTATTAGTATTAAAGTATATGCTTAAAACAAACATAATTAAAATATAAAGTATTTGCATAGTACTCCTATAAACCACCTTACACATGTCTTTTGATAAAAGCATTTCTGTCAGGTACATATCTAAGAGTGGAATTGCTGAGTCATAGGGTATTTATATGCACTGTTAAACTGAACAAACAGTTCTGTAAAGTAGTTATTCCAGTTAGCATTCCCACCAGCAGTATATGAGACTTCCAGTTGTTCTGGTCCTTGACAACTCATAGTACTATCTTTCTGTTTTTATTGTAAACCTTTAAAAACAGTTTAAGGTTCACAAAAATCACAGCAGTTGAGTTCCCATGTACCCTTCATTCGGCTTTCCCCCAATGGTACCCTACAACTTACATAACAACAATACATTGTCAAAACCAGGAAACTGATGTTGGTATAAACTCAGGTACAGAGTTCATTTGGGTTTCATCAGTTTTTGTTTGATGTATACTTCTACAAAATTTTGACATGTATGTAGAATCATGTTACCATTTCCAAAGCTGTATACAGAACTGTTCTATCATCACAAAAAAATCCTTCCTTCTGTTATCCCTTTGTATTCAGGCCCTTCCCCTAACCCTAAACCCTGTCAACCACAGATCGGTTCTCTATCATTATAGTTTTGTCAGATCAAGAATGGCATTTTCCAGTCAGCATGAGATCCACCTAAGTTATTGCTTGGATCAGTATCAATAGTTCATTTCTTTTTATCACTGAGCAGTATTCCATTATATAGATATACCACAATTTGTTTATCCATTCGCATGTTAAATAACATTTGGATGTTTCTAGTTTGGGGGCCATAATAAATAAAAGCTGCTGTGAACATTTGTGTTTAGTTTTTACATGAAAATGTTTACAATTCTATGGGATAAAGTTCTGGGAGTGCAGTTGCAGGGTTATATGACAAGTATGTTTAGTTGTATAGTTTTGTTTTCATAAGCTGCCAAATTCGTTTTCCAGAATGGTTGTATCATTTTATATTCCCGCCAATAATGTAGGACAGATCCAGTTTCTTTGTATCCTCAGCACCATTTAATGCTGTCACTATTTTTTATTTTAGCCATGCTGATAGGTGTAAAGTGACAACTCATGTGGTTTTAAATTACATTTTCTTTCTTCTTTAGAGACAGGATCTCACTCTGTCTCCCAGGTTGGGGTGCAGGAGCACGGTCATAGCTCACTGCAACCTCAAATTCCTGGGCTCAAGTCATCCTCCTGCCTCAGCCCCCTAAGTAGCTATGACTATGGTCATGTGCCACAATGCCCAGCTAATTGTATTTAATTTTTTATAGAGACAGATTCTTGCTATGTTGCCCAAGATGGTCTTGAATCCGTGGCCTCAAGTGATCCTCCCACCTCCGCCTCCCAAAGCCCTGGGATTATAGGCATGAGCCACCAGCCTCACCGAAATTACATTTCCCTAATGGCTAGTGATGCTATCTTTTCATATGCTCATTTGACATGCATAGCCTGCTTCAGATAAATGTCAGTTCAGGTCCTTTGCTCATTTTTTAACTGGATTTTTTCTTTCTGAGAGTTATTTGTACATTCTGATGATTCCTTTGTTAAGTATGCAAATTGCAAATATTTTCTCCCAGTCTGTGAGTTGTCTTTTCCTTAACAGTCTTCCACAGACAAAAGTTTTTATTTTTGATTAAGTCCAATTATTGATTTTTTTTTCTTTAATGGATTATATGCCATTGGCATCATGACTAAGAACTCTGCCTAACCCTAGTTGAAGATGACTATATTCTATATACTGATACAAGTAAAACAGTTTTACATTTAGATTTATGATTCATTTTGACTTCATTTTTTTAAAATACGGGTAAGGCTTAAGTAAAGGTTTGTTTTTGGCCTATGAAAGTCTAATCGTTTCAATACCATTTTTTGAAAAGGCTATGCTCTCTCCATTTAATTGCTTTTGCATCTTTGTCAAAACCATTTTTAACTTGCATTTCTCTGATGATTAATAAGGATCATCATGCTTTCATACATTTATTGGCCATTTGGATATCATCTTTTGTATAAAGTCCTGTTCAAGTTTTTGTCCATTTTTCCACCGGGTTGTCTAGTTATTTGATTTTTAAAAGAGTTCTTTATATATCTTGGATGAGACTTCTTTGGATCTATATATTGGAAACAGCTTCTCCAACTTCATGGCTTGCCTTTACACTCTTAAGGTGAAATGACATTTGCATTAGTCAGGGTATTCCAGAGAAACAGAACCAACAGGAATTAAGAAATTGTGTGTGTGTGTGTGTGTGTGTGTGTGTGTGTGTGTGTGTGTGTGTGTGTGTGTGTGTGCGCGCGCGCGCGCGCGCAGATATATTACAGGATTCACCTCACTGTGACTATGGAAGCTGAGAAGTGCTACAAGGTGCTGTTCACAAGCTGCAAAAGCAGGGAAGCTAATTGTATAAATCCTGGTCCCAGTTCAAAGGCCTG